CCCCCCCCCCCCCCCCCCCCCGCCCCACAAGCCCCTGTCTGTTTGGGCTTGCTTATTTTAAAGGAAGCCCATTCCATGTCATGGAAGCCCTCGACTTCCTGCGGACAGGTTCATGTGGAGAGAAACCGAGATCATCCATTAATAATAGGTCTTTTGTGTTCACTTTGGCAGCACATATACTAAAATCAGAATGATACAGAGAAGATTAGCATGGCCCTGTGCAAGGATGACATGCAAATTCAGGAAGCATTCCATATTTTAAAACAAAACAAAAATAACAGGTCCCATGGGCAACTTAGGAAGACCTGTCTCAAAATAAAAAAATAAAATTTAAAATCTGGAGATGGAACTTAGTGGTGAGGGCTTGCTCAGCGTGTATTCAATACTTAGTACTGATATAAATAAACAACAACAACAAAAATCTAGGCCCAAGCCTTGTATTGTTGGCCATCTTGCAGTCAAATTTTCCAGTCTCAGTCAAACCTTCGTGGGACAGCATCCCTAGCTAGAACTTGGTGAGAAGTTACCGGAGAACTGTCCAGCGGAGAAGCTTAATATAATTAACCTATCGATTCCACCAAAGTTAATGAATACTAATTGTTTTATTACACTATAGTTTGTGATAATTTGTCCAATAGCAACAGACAAAATACAATTTTTGGTATCCAGTAGTAAACATGGTTCTTCAACTATCTGCAATCATGTGTGGGATTGGGGGGAGTTGAGAGGCGATTTTGGAATTGAGCAGTGGGAAGAATCTGGAACGATCTTGAGGGCTTTGGGCACCATTTTTGCCTTGCCCTCATTCTGGAATATCTTTCTCTCAGATGAGGTAATATGGCTGTTACTTTGTGTCCTTTTTGTCTTATATACATATCACCTTCTTAGGGAAATATTCCCTGACTACCCTATTTAAATTTTTTTAAAAAGAACCAAAACTCCTATTTCCCTCCTCTGTGTTATTGTTATAATTAATATTAATACTATTTAACATAATATACAGTACAGTTCTTTGTAATGACTTTTGTCTCTTCCCTGTAGAGCATAATCACATTCAGGACAAGAACTTTGTTTCATGAAATGCTTTCCTGAAGGGGCTTTCTAGAACTTTGCCCAGGACACACTAACACTCAGTGGCTCCATCTCTGATGAATGAAAAATGACCTTGGGTAAAGAAACCAAGTTGCAGGTTAGTGATTTCCAGGGCAATGACATCTTCTAAAGGTGGAGAGGTCATCTTCTAAAGGTGGAGAGGTCCTCCCGGAATATGTGTTTGCCAAGACCTTAAAAGCAAGCAAGATTATCTAAGATAAGGCAGCGGGTGTTGTGCTACAGAGAGAAGACATTGCAAATTGCATCAAGACTCTGTGTCTAAGCACAAGGGTCACAAATGCCAGGGAGTCTAAAGAAGGACTAAAAGAAAACAAAGCAACCAATTCTTATTTAAAGTTCTCACTAAAAGAGACACACACTTAAAGATTTTTATTTGTATCTACCTATTTTTTAATCAACTAGTTGAATTCTCTCTCTCTCTCTCTCTCGCTCTCGCTCTCTGTCTCTGTCTCTCTCTGTCTCTCTTTTGTGTGTATGTCTGTGTGTAAGACCAGAAACTTGTGATTTACCCTTCATGTTTCATTCTACCTTTCTCCAATCAATAACTAATTCTCAGGGCCTTTCTGCTGCTATACCAAGTAGAATCTTCCAGTTTCTCTATAATGATTTTGTTCTTTCAACCTTTCTTTTCTTTAATCTTCACTTGAGTCCTGTTCACAGTATCTTTTCAACTTCATTCTACTTATATTTATCACCCTTTGGCTAATTTTATGCACGTTGTCTTGTTATTTTTAGAATGAAGGCTAAGAGCCTCAACATTTATATGAGAACCTACCAGTCCTCACATTCCATTATTCAGCAATATAAACATACTCCAAAGAATGCACTCTAAACAGCAGTGAGCATTTATTTAGATCTTAGGCTATATTCTGTGAATTTATCTAACTCATGCCTTCACCATATTTCTCTTATAATTAGGTTTTCTTTGCCACACTTTCTTCAATGACATCGAAATACACTTGTTTGTGTGTATGTGTGTGTGTGTGTGTGTGTGTGTGAAAGAGTGTGTGTGCGTGTGTGTGTGTGTGTGTGGTGCTGGGAATTGAACCCAGGGCCTTGTGTGTGCAAGGCAAGCACTCCACCAACTTAGCTATATCCTCATCCAGAAATACATTATTTGGATACAAGATTTCTATGCCATTTATGTATTTTATAATACATAAGATAGATTCATTTGCATATTTTATAATACTTAAGTGTATTATTACTCAGTGTCAAATCATTTAGGAGACAAGTTGAATTATCAGCAGATAATAAATTCTAATTAGTCATATCTATCTAGCATAGAACATTATTTTCAGGATGGACATGGGGTATGCACAAATCTAACTCTTCCAGTCTGATTGCCAGTTGAGACTAAGTTATGTGCTTTTGGGACTCCTCCTGATCTTTTGGTACACCAGGGAGCCATTCAGCACAATGGAGCAATAACTTGTTAAATTGAATAAAGAAAGCAGTTTCTGAATTTGGCTCAGTATACATTTCTAGAAGATTTTGCTCTCAATAGACACCTAGGGCAATATTTTTAGGAAAAAAATAATAAGATTAAGAAAGATAAGAATGTAGTTATTGTTCTTAATATACCTCACTATGTTTTTAAGAAATTGAATACTTGTCTGTGAATATAAACACTATAACAAAGTCAGTGGTTTAAAATTCTAAATGAAAAGCATAAATAATAAAGAGAGAGAAATGGAGAAAGAGACACAGAGAGACAGAGACAGAAAGATATAGAAAAATAGAAATAAAGACAGAGAGAGTGGAGTAAAATATTGTATATCTATTCTTTTCAATTCTCAAGTGTTCAGCAAGGCATGGTAGCACACATCTTTTATCCCAGCTGCTTAAGAGGCTGACGCAGGAGGATTGCAAACTTGAGACCAGCCTCAGAAAACTAGTGAGTTCCTGTCTAAAATTTTAAAAAAATAAAGAGAGCTGGGGATGTAGCTCAGTGGTAGAGCACCCTAGACTCAATCCCATTATCACAAAATGAAAAAAAAACTTTTAAAGTGTTCTGTAAATGTTTCCTGCAAAAAAGGAAATGCCCCCATTTATTCCAAAAGGAAAACAAACTGCTGATTTCTTTTGACAAATGTCTCCACTTTGAGGCAACAAAATTTATATATTTTATAAAAAACCCATACATCTTAAAAAACTAGAATGTAGTTAAAATGTATAATGCTGTGTACAAATTCATGGAAAAATTTGTTATGTAAGAAAAAACATTCATTTAAAGTTTGAGACAAACATACCATGTGGCTAGTGACCATCACAGATGAAAAATTTCAAGTCCTCTTTCTAAAACATGAAAAGAAGAAAAGTATTTTAAATTTATATGATTTTTACCTTCAAGGTGAACACATATTTTCAGGGAAATATTGGAAAGCTTGGAAAAAACTCATAAACTTCTCTAGGTGTGAACCAAACATAAAAATAAGAAAAAAGAAATCTTGAAAAGACCATATCTCACTGACATAAATGGCTAGTTTTTGTTTTCACTGAACTGAACTAGGTCTTGCAAAAAAAAATGTCTTTCAATTTATGAAATATTTTATTGCCACTGGTGACTAGGTACTTCTATTAGGACATTACAAGGACTCATTTTTAGACAGAATTTGGAGTTCATTTTTATTACTCTTAATTTCTGTTCATCCTCTGGTGAGAGTATATTTCTTCTACATTCTTTTTAACATTTCCCCTTTTAAAAATACAGAAATGAGCTGGTTATGGTGGCACATGCCTGTAATCCCAGTGGATTGGGAGGCTGAGGCTAATGGATCACCAATGTAAATTTATTTCCATTTGTATATTTTAATGTTATGCTCTCATAGTTATGTCACTTATATGATTCAGTGGAATAACTTTGCTGTAGGTAAATAAATTTTATATATATATGGTGCACACCTGTCATCCTAGTAACTTGGGATGTGGATACAGGAGGATCACAAGTTCTAGACCTGCCTCAGTAACTGAAACCTTGTCTCAAAAAAAAAAATAGAAAGGGCTGAGGATGTATCTCAATATAGAACACCTTTATGTTCAATCCTCAGTACCAAAACCAAACCAAACCAAACACCTCCCCATTCTCTTCTAACCCCAGACTCTAAAAACTAACATGCTACTTTCTCTGTAAATTTGACTACTCTAGGTTCCTCATAAAAGTGGACTCATACAGCATTTGTACTTCTCTATGGTATATTTTACTTAGCTTCATATCTTGGAGGGTCACCCATGTTGCATTATGGGTCAGAATTTCATTCCTTTCTGTTGCTGAATAAATGTATAGGCCACAACTTTGCTATCCATTCATCTGTCAATTGGTTGAGCTGCATCTGCTTTTGGCTATTGTGACTAATGCAGCTGTAAGCAGGTGTTTACAAATGTCATGTAAGTGCCTGATTGTGTTCTTTTTGGGAAAAATCCAAAAATGAAATATCTGGACCATTAGGTGATTCTACATTCACTTTTTGGAGGAACTATCATACTGTGTTCCACACTTGCTGCACCATTTTCATTCTCACCAGAAATGCACCAGAGTTTCAATTTCTCCACATCTTTGCCAAAACTTGCTATTCTTTAATAGCTATTCTAAAGGATATCTCCTAGTTTTGAGGTGATATCTCCTAGTTTTGATTTGTAATTCTCCAATTATTAGCAATGTTGAACATATTTGCCATTGATTATTAGCCATTTGTATATCTTCTTTGGAAAATGTCAATTCGATTTCTTTGAACAATTTTTTCATGAAATTGTTTCATTTAGTTCTTAATGTTTCATTTTGAATTATAGCTCTTTATATATTTGCATATCAGTATTTTATCAAATTCAGGTTTTACAGATGCATTCTCCCAATCTATGGGTTGTCTTTGGCCCTGGTAATGGTGTCTTTTCAGGCACAAAATGTTTAATATTTATGAACTCCAGTGAATCTTTTTTTTTCTTTCATTGCTGGACATTTCTTGTCATATCCAAAAAATCATCACCACATAATATTTTCAAATTTTTCATCTATGTTTGCTTCTAAAAGTTAGTTTTAGCTCTAACATTGGATCTTTGATTTGTGTTTAATTAATTTTCTAATATGTTGTAAGTTACATACTCAAGTTTAGTAAGCACAAGTGGATATCAACATCATTTGTTGAGAAGAC